TCTTTTTATTGTACTTTAGATGAAGGTTTTACAGAACAAATAGTTTCTCATTAAACAGTACACATACTGTTTTATGACAATGGTTAACAACCCTACGACATGTCAACACTGTCCCTTCTCAACCTTGGGTTCCCTATTACCAGCTTTCCTGTCCCCTTCTGCCTTCTAGTCCTTGTCCCTGGACTGTTGTGCCCCATTAGTCTCGTTTTGTTTTATGGGCCTGTCTAATCTTTGGCTGAGGGGTGAACCTCAGGAGTGACTTCATTACTGAGCTAAAAGGGTGTCCAGGGGCCATACTCTCGGGGTTTCTCCAGTCTCTGTCAGGCCAGTAAGTCTAGTCTTTTTTTGTGAGTTAGAAATTTTTTCTACATTTTTCTCCAGCTCTGTCCAGAACCATCTGTTGTGATCCTGGTCAGAGCAGTCAGTGGTGGTAGCCGGGCACCATCTAGCTGTACTGGACTCTGTCTGGTGGAGGCCTTGGTAGCTGTGGTCCATTAGTCCTTTGAATTAATCTTTTCCTTGTATCCTGTTCTCTTCGTTCTCCCTTGCTCCCGAAGGGGTGAGACCAGTGGAGTATCTTAGATGGCTGCTCACAGGCTTTTAAGACCCCAGACGCTACTCACCAAGGTAGAATGTAGAACATTTTCTATATAAACTGTGTTATGCCAATTGAGCTAGATGTTCCCTGAGAAAGGCTGCAAATCTGTATGAAAGCAGACTGCCATGTCTTTCTCCCATGGAGCAGCTGGTGGCTTTGAGCTGTTGACCTTTCAGTTAGCATTCAAATGCTTAACCGGTGCACCACCATTGCAGCCTTGGAAATCCTGTAGGTCAGTTCTACTCTGTCCTGTAGGGTCGCTATGAGTTGGAATCAACTCAACAGCAATGGGTTTGGGTTTTTGGTTTCATCCTGTAAACACCAACTAAAGGGTATGAATGTACAGGAGAAGGGAGTATGAGCATATCTTTGAAACAGGAGCCACTTTGAAGTGAACTATTAAAGAGACCTCGTTTACTGGGGGAATCCAGGACCTCAGGTGCCAGACCAGTTCTTTCTCAGGTTATTTCCTCAGCAGCAAGGGTGCGCGCTGTCTTTCCCGTTCTTGAGTGGAAGAAATAGCTCGTGTGAACACGTGTCTTTTGTTACGACTTTTTGTCAACTTTTGGTCTCTTTAATTACTGAGATGTGTATCTAACAGAGTTAGGAAATACTGTCAAGTTCACGAGAACGGGTAGCACCCTGAGACTCCTGGCTTCAAATTTGGGCTCCAACACGGGTGAGTGTGGGATATCAGTCAAGTGTCTCCTCTCTCGGGCCCCGAGCTACCTTTTCTGTAACTGGGGCGGACCTCCTAGACTCTCAGAGTGTTGTGGCAAAGATGAAAGGAGACTGTGGGTGGAGAGCTGGCAAGGGATGGGCACACGAAACACACAGTAAATGCTGGTGCTCGTTGGTGGTGGTGATGGTGGTGGTGCCATGGAGCCAGCTCCAACTCATGGTGACCTTATGTACAACAGAAGGAAACAGTGCCTGGCCCTGTACCATCCTCACAATCGTTGTATATTTGAGCCAATTCTTTCAGCCACCGTGTCAGTCCGCCTCACTGAGGCTGTCCTTCCTCCAAGTCCGATTTGTTCGCTCTTCTGGCAGTCCATGGGATAGTCAGTATTTTTCTTCGCCAGCACCACAATTCAAATGTGTCAGTTCTCCTTTGATCTTATTTCATTGTCCAGCTTTCATATACATATGGAGGGATTGCATTTTGCCTTAGGGACGGCCGCCTTATTCTCAAAGTGACATCTTTGCTTTTGAGCACTTTAAAGAGGTCTTTTGCAGCAGATTTACCCAATGCTGTACATCCTTTGATTTCCTTTTTTTTAAAATAACTGTGCTTTAGATGAAGATTTACAGAGCACATTGGTTTCTCATTAGACAGTTAATACGCATATTGTTTTGTGACATTGGTTGCCAGCCCTTCGACGGGTCAATACTCCCCTTCTCAGCCTTGGGTTTTCCATTTCCGTTTGTCCAGCTTTCCTGTACGTCCTTTGATTTCTTGACTGCTGCTTCCACGGGCATTGATCGTGGACCCAAGTAAAATGAAATCCTTGACACAGAGCAGTTCTACCTGTAACTCCTGGGGTCGCCATGAGTCAGAATTGACTCAGGAACAGTGGGTTTGGTTTTTGGTTTTAATCTGTTTGCCCACTTTTTTTTTTTTTTTTTTTGGCTCGAGGACCCTTATAGATACAGATATAGATTGAATTGGGAGGGGTGGGAGCATGGAACAGGGGGCCAACATCAGCTGCTGGCTTCCTTAACGGGGCTCCTGGTGGCTTCGGTACTTACAGTGGATCTCTCCTCGGGGGTTATCATATCATGAGGTGGCTGGACTTCACGGGTCCCAGAGAAGCTGATTCACCACCACCCCCCCAGTCCCACTGGAGCAGGAAAGCGCCCTCTGAGGACCTTGGACTGTGACTCCCCAGCGTGGAGTCCCTGGGAGGGGTTCTGCCCTCCCCACTCCACCTGCAGGACGCTGCTCCTCGTCAGAGACCTGCAGCGTTTGGATGTGTGAAGGGGTGGGGTTCAGGGTGAGGGCCCTGAGGGACACCCAAGGGCAGCGATTTGGGGTCGAACTTCTCTGCTAGGCGTGTCCCCTAATCTGTCATGGGTCCCTTCATCTGTGACGGTTTGCAAACACAGCGCAGAAGACACCTCCCTTGAATAGTGAGTCCTCGGGTGGCGGAGAAGGTTTGCATTTGTCTACTAACCTAAAGGTGGCAGTTCGAACCCACTCAGTGGCACCACAGAGGAAAGACCTGGCAATCTGTTCCAGTAAAGGTCACAGTCAGGAAGACCCCGTGGGGCAGTTCGGCTCCGTCACACGGAGCCCCTTGGAGTTGAAATGGATTCAGCGGTTTTGTTTTTTTTCTTGAATAGTGAAATGGGGATAAACAAAAAACCAAGCCCATTGCTACTGAGTTGATGCCGACTCATACTGATCCTATAAGACAGAGTAGAACTGCCCCATAGGGTTTCTAAGGAGCAGCTGGTGGATTCGAACCGCCAACCTTCTGTTGGTTAGCAGCCAAGCTCTTAACCAGTGTGCCACCAGGGCTCTGAGATGGGGAGAGATGGCGACTTTAGATTTTAATACCTGGGGCAGGTTCCTGAGACAGTGCAGGGTGGGAAATGAGCGGGCGTCCTTAAGCGCACCGGAGCAGATCCCCACGTTGCCTGCTTGCGGCCCTCAGAGCTGGCCTTGCAGAGGCACTGCTGCTCTGATGGCTGTCTCACTTCCCGTGGTGTGCCGGACATTTGTCCTTGTTGTTGTTCTTAAGGCCACCGAGCCAGCCCCCCCGATTCATGGCGACCCCACACGCAATGGAACAAAACGCTGCCCCTTCTTGTACCATCCCTGTGATCGGCTGCGGATCAAACCTTTGTGATCCACGTGGTTCTCCTTGGCTAGTTTTCAGAAGGAGCAGATCACCAGGCCTTTCTTCCTAGTCTCACTCTTGGAGCTCTGATGAAGCCTGTCCAGCATCACTGGATCCCCTTAAGGTGACACAGGCCAGGTTTGAAAGGGGGGCCAGAATCTTTCCTTAGTTTCACTTTTTTTTGGAGGGGAGGTGAACAGCTGTGTGGCGATGTTCCCCAAATGCTGCTTTTCCTGTTGCCTGACTTCAGCAATTCCGTTCACTGGGTTCATCACCTTTTAACCTTTTGCCATGTTCTTCTCTCGCTGCTGGTTTTGTAACACAGCCGTCTGTTTTCTTACTACGAACCCATTTTCTTTGCACTCCAAACCTTGCTCCAAGCTGTTTTGTCTATTACGTGTTCAAGCTCTTACCATCAACTCTCACTAAGCGCCCCGTGCGACACCCGTCCACCCTCCCTGGGTCTCCCCGTACAATTTGGTAAATAATCAAAGGATCCACAGTGCGTGTTTGTAAACAAAGATACACAACTCTGACGTTTCAGGACCAACTCTGTGTCCATACCCTCGAAGTGCTCGAAACCAAACCAGTCTCTGTCGGGTCAGTTGCAGCTCACAGCAATGCCGTGTGTGCAGAGGAAAACTGTGCTCCACAGGCTTTTTATTGCTGTGACGTTTCAGAAGGAGATCACCAGGCCTTTCTTCGGACGCTCATCTGAGGGGGTTCAAATGACCAGCCTTTCTGTTAGTAGCTGTCATGGTTTGAATTATGTCCCCCCAAAAATGTGTGTATCAGTTTGGCTAGGCCATGATTCATGGCATTCTGTGATTTTCCTGTATGTTGTAAATCCTGCCTCTATGATGTTAATGAGGGAGGATGGGTGGCAGTTGTGTTAGTGAGGCAGGACTCAGGCTACAAGATTAGATTGTGTCCTGAGGCAGTCTCTTGAGATATAAAAAAGAGAGAAGTGAACAGAGAGACAGGAGGACCTCATACCACCAAGAAAGCAGTGCCAGGAGCAGAGTGTGTCCTTTGGACCGTGGTCCCTGCCTGGAGAAGCTCCTAGTCCGGGGGAACACTGATGAGAAGGCCGACAGACAGAGAAAGCCTTCCCCTGGAGCTGACACCCTGAATTTGGACTTTGAGCCTACTTTACGGTGAAGAAATAAACTTCTCTTTGTTAAAGCCCATCCACCTGTGGTATTTCTGTTGTAGCAGCACCAGATGACTAAGACAGTAGCCAAGTGCTTAACCATTTGCACCACCCAGGGACTCCATGAGGTGCTCAGATTAACCTAAATGTCTGCAGTGTTCGGGAAACTGAAACTGGCAATCTCACGTTTTTGTAAAAGAACCATATTTCTGCATCACAGCAGCTACTTCTTTCTACTTGTCTGGTGATTGGTTTGAATGCGCCGTCTTGTGTTGTCATAATACCGTTTCGTAAGTGGGCACGGTTCCTGGTGTTTTATGCAGCCTTCAATGGGGAGGAACGAGGGAGCACTTGGGAATCAAGGAGTCTCGGTGACCGCCCTGTCCTTCTCCCCTGTCTGCAGGTGTCCTTCTTTCTCTTCATCATCTTTGTGGTGTACACCATGCTGCCCTTCAACATGCGGGATGCCATCATCACCAGCGTCCTCACGTCCGCGTCGCACACTGTCGTGCTCAGCGTCTGCCTGTCTTCAACGCCGGGGACCCGGGAGCATCTCGTCTGGCAGGTGGGTGCCCCTTATGTCAGCCGCCATGACTTTGCTTCCTGTAGGGGCCGAGGGGGCGGCATGGTCCACTCACCTGGTCAGGCTGTGCTCTGCTGTACGGTACCTGGCAGCTGCTCACTTTCTGCTATCGGGGGGTGACTCTGGGTAACAGTAATGGTGCCCCGCTCCCCACCTCCTGAGAGGAATCAGCAGTGACTCATCATTTCGGTAGGTGGAAACAAACTTTAGCAGGAATGTGGGATAGGGCAACTCCATTCTGCTGATTGCTGAATGGTGCTATGGTTTTGATGGTTAAAAATCTGTCGTAATTATACATTGTAATTTAGTGCTCTTATTTTTAGAGTGAAGTAGTGTATGCAATTAAATTCATAATTCTCCACCATCTCTCCCTACTTTATATGCTAAACTCCCTCTTTACAGAGGACAGCAAGATTTCTCCATTTCTAAATCTTTTGGCACGTCCATGGGCATTAAAAAAAAAATAGTTCTTTAAAACGCTGTTGCAGCAAATTTAGCTCAACTAATAAATGCCATTCGAAAGAAGCCATTCTGTTTAATTAGTTAAAAGCATTTAAAAGCGATTTGATTTCCTGTCCTCTATGTCAGTAAACATCCCGGTCAGTGGTTTGGAGTTATTCCTAAGGATCTCTTTTTTTTTTACCCGTAAAACGTAGGCTGTATTTTTCTCTGCTGAAATAAACTGTAACACATGCAACCTTAGTATAAAAAGCAGGTGCTGTGAGGGACAGAACAGGACTTTACACGGGGTCAGCTGGCCCAGTGGGTCCGAGAGGCCCGGTGGGAGTCACTTGATATGGAACCAGATGTTTCCCCTTGGGTCTCTAGTCACCTCTCTTAGTTTGAAAGCTTTCTAGGGATCCCTTTCTCAGTGTTCGTCTCGGGATGCTCAGAACACAGCCTCCACTGGGAGTTGCTTGAAAGACCTGCACTCACTGAGCATCCTCGTCTTCCCTTGGCTGGTGCCGAGGCAACGCCTCTGAGCACACACGGTGACCTGAGTTTCTCCTCCTTCGTCTGGGGTTCACTCCAGGAAGTGAGGGCAGGCATTGCTCCTCGGGGTTCTCTTTGATGGAGCAGAGTACGCACACACCCGTGATCTGCAACGCCTGAGACACACAGAGACGCAGTGACTCATCAAATGAAAGAAGGAAGGCGGATGTTTGAATAAAAGAAAAATCCATTGTGCTGTGCCTGGGAAGACGGGAGAGAATGCCCCGGCTTCGTGCTTCCTTTTTCTGCGTTTTGGAGCCTCCCCTGAGGTTATTTATGGTGCGTTTCTCCTTTCTCCCATAAATTCCATGTTCCATTTTACCCTTGAGTTGGGCAGGAAAGCTCAACATGAGGGGGTGACCATACAGGTGAGGGCGGTGGGTAGGTTTCCGTGATTGACATGAGAGCATAATCTGCTCAGCTTGTTTATAGCATGAAGATAATGGGAGTGTGGGTAAAGAAAATAGCTTGCTCTCAAGTAAGGTGGCTTCTGGCCGTGATTCCTGAGAAATAACCCTTGGGGTCACTGGGGGTGCCTTGGTCTGGGACTCCAGGTCACACCTGAGGATTTGCGCTGGCAAGTGTGGGCTGGCCAGACCAGGAAGGACTCACCTGGGAGGCTGATATCACCTCGCCTCAGGAAGCATGATTCAGCCTCTCATGCAGGACTGGCCAATCACAGCCCGGAACACTGAGGCTCAGAGAGCTTCCTGGTTGGTGAAGGGAGGGTGGCAAGCCCTCTTTTAGACATAGAAGCTCTATACTGGAAACCTTCTCCAACCTCGCCCTTGTGTTTCTACCTTATGATGATCCTGGTGTGTATCTTTTTGCCATAATAAATCTGTCAACATAAGCACAGTACTTTCTGTGAGTTCTGAAGTCATTCCAGCAAATTATCACGCCAAGGGAGAAGTGAGGAGCAGAGCAGCAGGTGAGAGCGAGGGAACCCAGGGGAGGCCCCTAGCTTGCGGCTGGCATCCTGAAGGGGCAGTGGGAAAACCCCAAATTTGTGGCCAGCCAGTCAGAAGTTTGGGGTGTCGTATGGACTCCTGAGCTTGTGGCTGGCATCTGTTTGTCAGGCAGAAGGACAGTGTCCTTTCAACTTGTGACCTCTGACCTCGCTCAGGGTGCCTGGAGGCAGAGTGGGGGTGCCACAGTGGTGGCTGGTGTCAGAGATGATGGACAAGTGGTAGAGTGGGGATTTGATTAATCTTTGCATTTTGGGGACTGAATTTATGTTGATGCTTACCATGAAGGCTTTCACGTCCTCCTCATACGGACAGCCAGGACTTCAGATTTCCCGGCCCCCAGCTCCTTCACGGTCTTGGTTTACCTGGGAACACAACCCCTGAGCATTTTGTACGTCTCCCTTCTGTCCCTTCTTAAATAAATAATGCAGCTGCTGGTGTAGATGTAGTAAAAAAATTACCTGGAAAGTGAGGCTTATGATACCTGCCTGTAAGGATCAAATGGGTTTTTTTTTTAAAAAAAAAAGAATGAGTGCTTTGCAAAGACTCTGGCATATTCCTCCGGTTCTGTTCTGTGTTTCTTTTTGTTAGTTTTTTTAAAGCACTTCCTTTTTCTTGCATTTGTAGAAAAGTTTGGGGGAAAATGTGACTGTACATTTTTATTTACTTAATTTTCCAAACCAACAAAGAAAAAAGCTTCTTATCACTAGACAGTCATGGATGGAATAATTGTGGAATAGCACAGTAAATACAAGTTCTTCATTGTATAGCATTTCATTAGAATAACATTAAAAGGAACAGAGGAACATCCGGCCAGTCTGCTGTCCCTTCAGAAATAATTTCATGAAGATTTGAAGAGCTGGAAAAGGGAAAGTTTGCTGACAAATATAAAGTGGACAGTTTGTAGGTGAAGAGCAGAGGAAGGAAGAAGAGAGCCTGAAGTATCTCTGGCCACTGCTGGAAATAGAACCTAAAACAGCCCTGGCTTGCGATGCAGGAACAGCACCCGTAGAATTCCTTTGGTCTGCGGTACACGTAAATTACCACGCTCCAGGTTAGGGGCTTGTGTGGCTGCGGTGGAACTGTGTGCAGCAGAGCTATTTGAAATAAAGGTTATTGGTCTGATATATAGAAAGAGGCTTCCCGTAGCGAAGATCAGTATCACCCTGTCTTCTGAAACATCAAAGAAATATCACATTTCATTTAGCATGGACCCATATTAGGGATTTTTCTTTCATTTTATTTCTTTAAAAATCGGCAGTCCATTGCAGTGCGTACCGCTTGTCTGGTAACCCAAATACCGACTCAGTGGAAAACCTCCTCCCCTTCCTTGGGTGGTTTTCGTTCCCAGGAATTCCATTTTACCAGCATTTGCCTCAGAGTTCATTCTCAGGCGATGATCCATAGTCTAGTTGCGGAAAGTTTCTTAGTAACTGAAAATGACAGATGGCATTTTCTAGTACATTTTCAACATTTTATTGGAATACTATACCTATTACATTTTTAACGCTTATTTTGAGACAATCACGTGCCTATCAAAAAATCGCAAATACAATACTGAGAATTATTTTTTCCTAAACTATTTAAGGGTAGGTTGTCAGTCTGATGCCCGTCACCCCCAGATGCTCTAACCATTCTGCTACGTAACCATGATTCTTCTTGTTGTCAGTTGCCATTGAGTCGGCTCTGACTCATGGCAACCCCATATACAAGGGGATCAGACCATAGGGTTTTCATTGGCTGATATTTGGAAGTAGATCACCAGGCCTTTCTTCCTAGTCTGTCTTAGTCTGGGAGCTCTGCTGAAACCTGCTCAGCATCATAGCAACGTGCAAGCCTCCACTGATAGACGGGTGGTGGCTGCTCATGAGGTGCATCAGCCGGGAATCGAACCTGGGTCTCCCGCACGGAAGGCGAGAATTCTGCCACTGAACGATCAGTGTCCCCAAAGGGAAACCAGAGTCAGGAAAACAAGCTGAAACCTCCCACCTCACGCTGTGGAGGCTGCCTCCTGCTTGGGCCCTGGGGAAGGGACGGTTATGCAGCAGTGAGCTGAGATTTGCAAGCGGGTCGGGAATCGTGCCTCCAGCCCAGGCAGGGGCCTGTGGATGCGAACCCTCGTCCAGCCTGAAGCCTCTGCACACAGGAAAATGCTTATTTCATTTCAAACATACATCTTGCCTTTTCTTTCCTTTCTCTTTACTTTTATAGGTCACTGTCACTGTAGGCATGAAACTGAACCAAGCTCAAGGAATTTTTCAAATGTTCCAGTTTATATCATGATTGCATTTTGTACCTGAAGCATACTTGTTCTTCTTACGTTTTTACTTCCGTGGTATTTATTGCTCGTTCTGAATTTTCATTTTGTATATCTTTGATTTTCCCTTGAGAGAGGGGGGAATTTGAATGTAGATTTACTTGGGCAAGCCAGCTATATGAGAATTCACATTTATTAAGGAAGATAAGCTAAGGCATGCTCATTGGTTTTCTAACAGGATTACTCATATTTTAGGGACATTTTAAAGGATCCCTTTACATGATAGATTCTTTAATATATTTAAATTCTGATACAATTTGAAAGATTCTGCACGTGCCTATAATAGACGGTAGAGTCTGTCCTCCATGGCAAGCGTGTTATCAATAGTAATGAGGGTTTGTTGCATAACTGGTTCTTTTTAGGGCTAATTCAGGAAGTGTGTATTGGAGTCTGGAATTAAATTACATCGAGGATCTAATCTGAGAAGCTCAGAGGAAAAGCTGCAGGCTGCCAGCTGGCCTGCTCTGGCTGTGGGAGAGACTAATGGGGAGGAATCGGGATCTGCTCGCCTACGCCTCTGTCTTTGGAGAAGCCCAGGATATTAATTGTTTCCACAAGGAAGGAGCAGGAGACAGTGCCCTGTCCAGTCTCCGCAGCACCGAGCTCTGAACTGATGATAATGCATATCCTATTTCAGCAAGTTGGTGTTTACCTGTGCGGAAGGCATGATAATTTGGGAGGAGTAGGGGTAAGGAAGGAAAAGA